TGTTAAAATTAATGATGAAATTATGTGACATATTTAAGAGTGTAAACAAATCTGTCAATTGTGGTTTAAGTGTAGCAAACTATAAATTAGTTCAAAAATGGTAGTGTGGCAGTCCTTATCCTCGTCCCAATTCCAACTTATGGGGAGGGGAATGGGCAAGGAATCATCCACATTGTCCCCCGGGTACTTTCAATTAATTATTTATTTAAAAATATAATTTCAATTAAAAACATAAAAATTACATATTTTTCAAAATTTAGTTTATATAATATTTATGTTGGCGAGAACTCTGTTCTTCAATCTTGACTTAGGACAAGAAATTTGCCCCCGTCGTCTTATCTCGACTATCTGACATATAAGGAAAATCTTATCCCAGTTGGGACATGGCATTGTCGAGATTTGAGGTGGCCAGTTTTCCTTAAATTATATATAAACATAATTATGAAATATTGGAAAATGTTTATTTCTTATTTTTCTCGACTGTGTCTAATTTAATACCAAGAACTTGATATTGTAATTGTTAGGCCCCTTATGATGAGGCTTCTGACCACCACCACGTGGTAGCTAGCTGGTAAGCTAACAATCCCACTCTCTACACCATCATCCTCCTTGGTCGAGGCGAGACCATATATAAGGTAGCCAATGTCACGTATCATTTTAGCTCAGATGCCATGAAGAGGTCCAAGGCAAATAGCCTCCTTAATGACAAAAGGCATCTACCACTTCACCTCTTTCAAGAGATCATTTGTGCAAGAATTTCATACAATTAATTGATGTAACATCTCTATAGCACTTGCATAAAGATCAAATCACCAATCTATGTTTTAGATCTCAGAGTTAGGTACTTGGGTGGCCACTTTTCAAAAATGTTAAATGTTCGTTAGCCTATGACTAACAGATTGATACCTAGCAAGAAACACCTCTAACATCTGATAATGCCACATATCTTTCCATCAAACGGTCAGTATTCCATCTCTTCTACTATAAAAGCTCATACTTAGTGTCATTTGAAGGTAATACAATTTTAAACACTTGTGGCTCATGTCTTCTACATATCCTACACCCAAATACACCTATTCTAGTTATTGGGTTGGTTATTTGAGAGCACGATCATAATTGTTTATTCCATTCAGATGGGGCTAAACTCAACCTAAAGACTCACGTCGCTAAAAAGTAATATCAACAGAAGGGAAATAAAGCATAATAAAGTTTCGTGCTTTATTTTTGCTTTTTATTTCTTTATTATAAGAGAATCTTTTTTCAAGTAAAAGTCCACTTTGCTATGTTTGTGTCTTTAATGATATATAATTTTATCTAAAGAACATATTATAATCATAATTTTATTAAAAAGGTTATAAGACTTTTTTATTCTCCTCTAAATAATATAAAAAATAAATATAACATCTGTTGACCTATGTTAAGGCAAAGACTTTGGGGTGATTTTGTGGAATACCCGTCCAGAGAAGAATCATGGCTGATTTTGTGGTGGTAGAACTACCATCCAATTTAAATGCTATCTTAGGACGACCCATACTCGATGAGTAGATGTAGTTCGAGAAGATCAAGCTGACGTTTGATCTGCAACATTAACCTGCCTAGCTCAGGGGTACACATGTTCTGCAAACGGTAGTACGACAAATCCAAGGATCGGTGGGAAAAACTCATCTCAGCTAGGGTTGTAAATAGATTGGATCTTCCCAAATTCAATCCGTTAAGAATAATTCTCGAATCCGATCCAGTAATCCGACAAATATTTGATTACTAAATCCATATCCAATTTGTTATATTATCGGATATCCGATCCGATAACCCTATCCAAAATTTATAATAAAAAAAAAAAATTTATTAGTCAACTTCTAATCCTTATAATTAAAAGATATAGATAGCTTTTTATCCAATTCTTGGTCCACATATTCATAGATTGTAAATTTTATGATATTCTAGTGAGTATCAAATGTGGGAAGTTAGAGGTTGTGAATAATGAAAGTAACTCCAATCGTTGGCTCCTTTGGTTGTTTAATTTATAAAATAAATTAATTATTATTTTCATCTTATTTTAATTAATAAAAAAATTAAATCTCTTCAAAATTTTCAATTAACAATATTATACTGTTATCTAATATTATTTATTATTTGAAAATTATATGTAAAGTATAATAAAAGTTTCAAATTGAGACCCTAAATCCATCCCCCATTAATTTCATCGAATTTGGATCAAAATCCAATCCATTAACAACTCAAATCTTAGCTGACCTGATTAAGATAAGGATTACTCATAAACATTACAGAAGACCCGAGAATAGTTGCCCAGCAGCCAAAGCTAAGGAAACAAACTCACGTCCTTCCATAGTTGTTCTAATAGTGGCCATACTGATAGCCAGTGTAATCATTCTCTGGGTTTTGGTTGATACTGCACCTCTCTCACCATTTTGTATATCAACACACTAAAATAGATGGGAATTCCACGTCATTTTTTGCAACCATACCCAAATATAGTTCTCGAATTAAATGAAGCCTCAACTATGGCAAAACGACAAATCAAGATCCCTGTCGAGGTCGGCAACATTTTCCACTGAGCTCACGTCGATACTGAGTTTGAAGTGTTCGAATTTGCCTCACCTTATGATGCAATCATGGGAAAGGCTTTACTGTTCGAATTGAAGGCTATCGTGTCGGTGTGTCACTACTAATTATCCACTCCCTATGGTCAGGAGAGATCAAAGAAAATAAGGAAGCTGTTGAAGAATGTCATTTTATTCACTACCCTACAAAAATTAGAGTTCACCTTATCTCAATCCAGTACGGAGTAAATATGGCATACCTGGTAGAGCCTAACCTCAGCTCGTTGGATCCCAGAATTAAGCTAAAAGACAAAGGAGTAGAACCCGTTGAAACTAGGTCAGCTTGGATATATTCCCAAAAGAGCTCCAAATTGGACACAAACTGCAAATTGGACGTGTTCGCCTAGAGCAATAAGGATATGGAGGGGATCGATCCAAAGATTGTTCCTCACAGGCTCAATGTAGATCCTATAATCTAATTAAAACAGAAAAGACAGAGAGCAGTCAATGTCGAAACATAAGAAGCCCTACTTAAAGAAGTGGAGGCAACAGATTTATCAAAGAGGCAAGTTATCCCAAATGGGTTGCCAATCCAGTTCTGTAAAGAAGATCAATGGAGATTGGAGACTTTGTATAGATTTTACCGACCTCAACAAAGCTTGTCCTAAGGATAGTTTCTCATTGCCAAGGATTGATCAAATGGTCAACGCTATAGCCGGGCAGAAGCTCCTCAGCTTCATGGATGCCTATTTCGGCTATAATTAAATTTTCATGCACAAACCTGATTGAGAGCACACCTCATTCATAACCGACCAATGCCTATGTTGCTACAAAAGGATGCTCTTTGGTCTCAAAAACGCTAAAGCAACATACCAAAGGCTTGTAAATTCAATGTTTGCCCAATAGATCAACAAAACCATAGAAGTTTTGATGGTATGAATCATTAATTGAGGGTCTAATTACCACTACTTAGAATACTGATAAATAAATATTACGCTTGAAAAATTCATATTTTCTAAAATTTAAGACTTGAACAACAATTGGGAAGCTATTTGTTGTATTTATCAGTTAAAAATTATTTAATGTAAGAATGTATGGGTGAGCGCGGGTCGGTTCGGTTCTAAAGAGACACGAACCGAACCAAAATTTTTGGGTATCTAGTAAATGGAACCGTTGGGTCCAAATATAATTATGGAACCGTTCGGGTTCGGTTTAGTTAAGTTCGGTTCGATTCTGTACTATAATTAAATTTTTTAATATTTATAATAACATTATATAAATACAACTAATAATACATTCAATGGTTTTGGAATGTCAGAGACTAATAGACTATCTTATTCAAATGATCGCTACGGTCAAAATTTTGGTCGACAGAGGTTACAGTTTCGATCAGAGATTTGGAGGTCACAGCGTCGGCCGACGATTGTATAGGTTTTGGAATGTTAGCGAGGCTGCGAGAGTGGAGACAATGTTATGCACTTTAGTGTAGGTGTATATGGTTATTTAGTGAATTGGATTTTGTTGGACTAAAAAATGAAACAATAAAATGGATAATTGGGCTAAAAATTAAAAAATTAGAAATGAAACAAATTATTGGGCCAAAAAATTGGATTTAAAAATTGTTAATTTGTTTAAAAAAAATTAAAATTAAAATAATTTGATTTACTCAATATAAAAAAATAGAAATATTCGGTTCTTATTCGATTCTTGGTCTAGAACCGAGAATGGAACAGTACCCGTCGGTTCTCAATTTAAATACCTGTTCGGGTATTTAATTTGACAAGAACCGTTGGATTCGGTTCGGTCGGTTCGGTTCGGGAGATTTGCCCCTATAAGAATGGGACTAAGGTTACTTTTGAAATAATTAGTCAAAGTTGAACATATATCGTATGTTTTTCTGAAATACTTTATAAATGCTATAAAAGTAATATTTGATAACAATTTGTTGGGATGATTTGATAAGTTTCAAATGAACTAAAGAAAATAAAATTAAACACCTATTTAAATTTTTAGATACATAAATAGAAATAAATTCAATCATAATAACTCTAGATTCATTTAGATTGAGATTCATTAAGTTTGGATTAATGTGAATGTTAATCAATTGAGAATGATTATTATGAAATTCACACATAACAAAGATTTTGTAGTATTTATTACAAATTGAAAAACGAAAAGTAAAGTATTATTGAAATAATTAAATTGTAGTAGGATTAAAGTTGTCCAAAAAATTATTCTCACTTGATGTGATATTTAATAATTATATATTAACGTATTTATTATTATTTTCGATCAACAAAAATATTATTTAGGTAATTAAAATTTTAACGGTTAGTCAAACATGTACAATTAGGTTTGAAGCATATAATCGAGCAACTAAAATCAATTCCATTTGCATAAAACTTCAAAGTTTTTTGTCACATTGTTTCCGAATCTCATTTTTCATTCTGTTTGTCCGAAACTCCAGAATTCTTGTAAGGAACAATTCGTTTAGCCATGAAAAAAGAAACATTGACAAGTGATGCAGTACCAGTGGTTAATATTGCCGAGCAGGACGCGATAAATATCATCGATTCACCTAAGGTAAATTTTATTTTTTGTAACTATGCAAGTGTGTATGAATAATATAATAATCTTGATGGAGAATCAATATTTTGGTTTTGATCTTGAATCAACGACATCAATTCTTGTGTAAAGTGTGAAAGTTCACCTTTTCATGATTATTACTCAATTCAGATAATATTTAGACCTTAGAACGTGTACAACAAAATTAAAAGTAACAATTAAAAGCAACAAATCACTTTTTAATTGTTTCTAGATGGTTAATCAATCACGTCAATTAATTAATCATATGTTGAATTACTACAATTTGTAATATGAAAGCAATAAAAAACACCAAATTAATCACGGAGAAAACCCTTCGCAAAGAATCAAAAACTCTAGGCACTTTGCCAGGCAATAATCTACTATAAACGAAACAATTTATAGTATGGTTGAGACCTGAGCCCCCTCCCCCCCGACCTTATTTTCCTGTAGTCACCTTTAATCCTATTGGACAGTGTGCTCCTCACACTAGATCCCTGCTCCTGGAATATCATATTAGCCCTGCTCCTCACACTAGTTCTTAACCCCTGATAGTTACCTTAGCTCTCCTGGATTGCATGTCTTTGCACCAGCTCCCGATCCCTGATATTGTTTATCTCCGATGGATTAAATAGTTTGGTGTTTGATCAAATGACTTCTGTGTTTTGATCTTGTGGTTTTATATAAAACAATATGACTTGATCAACAAAATATGTTTTGGAAGAATTTTTGGATCAAATAATATGTGGTGGTTGAATTTTTGAATCAATGAATGTTTTGGCTAATCAAAGAATTGATCTCTATGGAATAAATTCGATTCAACATACTTTGGGACATAGGGTTATATATTTATACGAGAAGTGTTTTGGAATAATTAGGAGTGAAAAATCTTGTTTAAAACAAATTGGGAATTATTGGAATCGAACCAACGCTCGAGTGCCAAGTGGGTGTCCAGTGAGCATCGTCTTAACACTCGTCGGTATTTTTATGATAAGTTTCTTTCCCGATGTCTGATTGAGATAATTCAAAATGTGTTGGAAAGTAACTCAAAATGATACAAATTTTCTACAGTAGAATTCTCAAATTCGGATATTTTCTATGTAAAAATGTGTTGCAAGTTATGAATGAGAATTCGAAACATAACTTGTACGAATTTTTGACACTCTTTAAACTTTTATTCCATTAATCATTTGTAATCTTCTTGAACATCTTGAACTCCTTCAACATGTATACTATCAACCCCCCAATTATTTAACTTTAATTACAACTCAAATAACTTACATTTTGGTTACAGATAAAACAAATTATAAATAGGAGAGCTAACAAAGTGTCTTCAATTTCTTGCTAGCTTGATCTTCTCTCTCAAAATTGTGATTGGGGCTCTTGTTCTTGATGAATTTTGTGATATGAATGTGTATTAAGAGGCTAAAGAAAGGTCCCCTAATGCTTTGTTCAAGTTCTATATCTATAGGAGGCAAAATTAGGTAAAAAAACTGCCGATAATTGGTTTACGGAAGAGTTGTATTGAAATAAGGAAATTGATCCTACTTTGCCGAATTTTGCCCATGCGTGGAGTTGTTCATGTGCCTCAGGTTGGGTGAAAGGATGGCCTCTATGCTCGGGGTTAGGTAGATCTGAGAAATTGTCAGTATTTTTGTCATATATTTCTCGTCCGATATCAAATGAGGCAATTTAAAGTACATTAGAAATCTAACTCAAGGGATTACAATTATTCTAAAAATGTGATATTTCTATTTCGAATATTTACTATGCAAAAAAGAAATTTCAATCTAAAGCTGAAAATCTGGAGCATAACTTGTGCGACTAGAAATTGATTTGTAAAAAATATTTTGACAATATTTTACTCATTTGACTTCCAATTACATCAATTGATCGTATGTGATCTCCAGTCAGCATTTTGTAGTCCGAATTAATTGAATATTTGCACTTTGATCCTCAAACTTTAAAAACCCCTTTCGCTACTTTTGTCCAATTTCATCATTTGCATTGAGTTTTACCGTACAAATGAAATAAATACTTAATTCAGTCGCAATTCATTAAAATTCATGACAATTAACCACGACTCAAATAATTGTACGAAACACACTTATCACATAACAACTAGAAGTTTATAATTTGTATTGAACTTAATTAAACACACAAATGTTTAGTATGTTCCCTAGAAGAATACTTTAAATCCCTTGCAATAAACACAATATAGTATCTCAACTCTTCTTTAATGCTTTCAAGAACTTCAAGAATACTACACTTTTTTTTTATCTCTATTTAATGTGTGGGCACTAATGAATGAATATTTTTTTATCAATCATGATCCATGTCTAGGCCTTTTTTTGGAATAAATAAATTTTGTAATAATAATTTTTTAAAATGTGCAGTTAAAAAGTAGGAGAAGTTTGAATTTACGTATCGTTTTTCTTCCCACAATTTTCCTTTTATCACAACATGTCCGTTTTCTAAAAGGATGTATATAGACATGTCTAGATTAATTGTAATAATTCTAGTATAGAAAATATTACGTAATGTGTTTATATTAATTCTAGATATTTAATTGTGTAAGCCTCCTTAAATTATAACTCATTTTGAAACCAACGAAGGGACTTGAAAGGACACAGTTAATTTAAGCTTCAATTAATTTATTCTTGTAATAGTCAATTCTTGACCGTTTAAGATTAATCAATTAGTTTCGACTCTATCAACTAATGATCGAAATCATATTTTTAAATTAATTGGAATAATTGAAGCTTTTAAATAATTAATTCCTATTGACATGTCGTTAACGATTTGTCCTGTCAGTTGATAAAATAATTATAAGTGACTCTTATAATCAGTCATTTTTTTTTTATTTTTTTAGATAATATCAGACGTTCCATTATAAATACCAGAGTAACTCGTTATTGATTATGCCCCAGTTTGATATGAATTAAAATCTTTCATCCAGATTTTAATTTATGTTAGAGTCAACAAGTAATTGTAATAATATATTTCATAGAACCCGCAACTTTTAAACAACATATTTCATCAACATTTATCAAAATTTATTAACAATCTAATTTTTATCCCCACCAAAGAGAGGCTAAATCTCACTATTTATTACCTCAAAGAACTAGAATTAGTAATTAATGTTCACAATTCCTTCAAGATTTAGAAGTATGTTTAACTGTCTCGTAATGACCCAGGCTTGTACCTAACCGTTAACTCACATACTATTCGTCGTGGGAGAGTTTGAGCGCATCTTACCCCTCACGGCTCTATGTCGTGTCCCATAGAATTCAAACTTATCCTCTATCTTATGAGAGATTGAAGTTGAATTCCGATAATGACCTGAGCCTAACTATTAATTTATGTATTGTCCACTCTGAGAAAGCCTAAACTCATTTTACCCCTCATGACTTTCTGTCACATCCCTTAAGATTCGAAACCAAGACTGTTGCATCGTAAAAGACTTAAGTTGAAATCTGAGGGATGTGATAGAAAGTAGTGAATGATAAAATGGACCGAGGCCCTCCCAAAACTGATAATATGTAAATTACTGACTAGGCACGATACTTGGGTCGTTATAAAAAGTCCAATTGGTATATGATCCAACTTAAATCTATCATGAGGTAGAACGTTCTTGAATTCAAATCTTGGGGACACGATAGAAAGCTGTGAGGAATAAGATGGATTCAGACTCTTCTATAATGGACAATACATTAGTAGCTTGAATATATTAGTGTCATCACCCAAAAAAAAAAAAAAAGCATTTTTATAATAACTCGAATCTCTTGTCTGACTTTAACTTACTCCCAATAGAATTCATCTTAAATCTCTCATAAGACAAATATCTTGGGTTCGAATCCTGAGAGATAACAAAAATTCATGAGGGATAAGATGAGCTCAATTTCTTTCAGAGCAAATAGTACATAAGTTAACCATCGAGAACGCGGCTCAGATAATTACAAAAATCCGCATTTTTTGTAATGATCTAGTCTCGTGCCCAAATCGTTATATCATACGTACTATTCATTTTCATAAAGGTTGACATATTTTACCCCCCATGACTTTTTGTTGCGTCCTCATGACTCGAATCTAAGATCACTGCCTTATGAGAGACTTAAATTGATTCATTAGATAGAGGTCTTAGGTTAGAATTTTGAAAATGCAACAAAGAACTGTAGAGAGTAAGATGGGCTCAAACTCTTCAAAATATATAGTATAACAATTTGGGCACGAGACTCTAATCCTTGAAGTCATAACATTCAATTTTCTATAATCATGATAGTATTGAATGTTACTTAATCCTATCGCATATTAATATTTATTATTATCATTTTCTTTATTAAAGTTTAGATAATATGACCTTATCAAAATAAACTATTCGACTTAACTTCTTATTCATGGACAATTAGCTTTGATCACTTTAGGAAAAAAATAACAATAATAATCATCTATATGTAACAACTTAAGTACACCAATGAATTCATGGTCTCAGGTTTCTTTTGTTGTATCAACCTGCACGATATTGTACTAAGCATTTCTATCGATAAAGTCGTCTTCTTGCAGTTCTCGTTGAATGTGGTACGCGTTTCTCTGTTAATTTCATTTCAGGTGAAAGTAGAGAACATTGAAGCAGCCTTTGATGGTGAATTCATTAAAATAGAGGAGTCGTCTTTTGATGCAAATGGTCGTACCTTCACGGCCGAATCAAGCTACACGGCAGATGAAAAACTTGGACTGAAAAGCTTGAATAAGAAAATTTTAGAAAATCAGAAAGTAGAAGAGGCACTGAAGAGTACCGCTGCCGAATTATCTACAGCTCAAGGGGAGTTGGAGCTTTCGAAATCACAGGTGCAAGAAGTGGAGCAAAGGCTAGCATCAAAGGAAGCTAGCATCAATGAATTGACCGAAGAACTGGGAACATCAACTGCTCGGTATTCTGACCTTGAGCTAGAACTGAAAAGTGCCATGGACAAATGTGCCGAGAATGAAGGACGAGCCAATACAATTCACCAGCGCAGCGACGAACTTGAGGATCTAAAGCAGATATCACATGGTAAGGCAGTTGAGGCTGGTAAAAAAGTGAGCGAATTAGAGTTACTTCTTGAAACAGAAAAATATAGGATCAAGCAACTTGAAGAGCAACGTGGGGCTGCAGAAGCAGAATTCTTGAAAAACACTCTGAAGGTTTCCGAACTTGAAGGACAACTGGAGGCTGTTCAAGTGAAAAATTCAAGCCTAGAGGTTGCATTACAGGCTGCCACTGAAAAGGAAAGAGAACTGACCGAGCACTTGCATATTACCACAGAGGAGAACAGAAATTTAAAAGACACGTCGAAAACCGCAAATGAGAAGCTATCTGAAGCCAAAAATCTCAGGCATGAATTGAGTACTTCTCACCAGAAATTGGAGAGCATCGAAAATGACCTCAAGGCAGCACGAATGAGAAAAAATGAAGTTATTGAGAAGCTCAAGCCAGCCAAGGAGCAGTTACAGGAACAGGGCAGAGTGTTGGAGAAAGCTACTCTGAGAAGCATAAAGCTTGAATCATTACACAGAACTCTAACAAGAAAATCAGACCAGGAACTCCAAGAAGCATTAGCTAATTTCACCAGAAGAGATTCTGAGGCAAAATCTTTGAAAGAGATATTAACGAGTCTTGAAGGTCAAGTTAAAAGTCATCAAGAGCTGCTAGCTGAAGCAAATGAAAGATATGCAGCTGTGAAGGAAGAGCTTGATCAGATTGTAGAGAAGCTAGCTTCTTCTGAGAATGCCAATAAAGACTTGAAACAAAAGATTTTGGATGCAAAAGGCAAAGCCGAACAGCATGTTGCAGAAAAGGAATTGTTAGCCGACACCAACTTACAGATCAGTAAACAGGCCAAAGAACTTGACGAAAAGTTGAATTTGGTTCTTTCTATGAAGAAACTCTCGGATAAGCAGCTTGCTTCTCACACGAGCACTATCACTGAATTAATAAAGCAGCACTCAAGAGCCATTGAACTTCAATTAGCAACCGAAGCCCGCTTTTCAGGTGCAGAAGCACAGTTGGAAAGAGAATTTAAGAAAAAATCAGAGCTTAGTCAAGAACTGGCTTCATACAAGTCCAAGTTAAGTGATTTGGAAACCAAACTGTTTACTGTTTCTTCTGAGAAAAATGATGCAGTTGAAAAGCTTCGGTCTGGAAAAAAGGAAATAGAATATTTGAGACAGACACTTCAGGTTAGTACTCTAGCACAATATATCTCAAAAAATTTCCCATCAATTAATGGTTTTCAATTTTGAAAACCTAATTACTTAATTACCAAGATGAATTTCTTTAATTTGTAAATCATCTGATGTAGTTTAAGATCAAAATGTGCCACAAATACCGTAATAGTCCTGAAAGAGTCTTTCATAGAAACCAGAGAAAAAGTATCTTAAATGTCAACGTTTTCCTTTACGAGTAAAGCCATTTGCAACAAGACGAGCCTTATATCTCTTCATTTCACTCTTCAAATCCCTCTTGATTTTAAATATTTATTTACAACCAATGGATTTTGCACCTTTAGGCAATGGAATGAGTTCCCAAACATCATTGTCTTTCATGGGCTTTATCTTTTTATTCATGGCATCAATCCACTCTTGAGAATTAATCCTTTGCATGGATTGATGAAAATTGGTTGATCACATCATCTTCCATCAATATAATGCCATCTTTATTTTTTAGAGTAAAACTATAAAGTCTCCGAAATTGTCTTTCTCCTTTCTCTAGTTGATTTTCTTAATGGCACTTGTTCTTGAGGTTTTTAAGTTTGTTTTTCTAGAACAATCTCTTGATTATTTATAAAGATTTCGTAATAATGTTTTGATCTGAAATTACTTCTTGAACAAGATCTGGAGCAAGAATTTATCTCTTGTCCTAATCATTGTCAATTGCAACAGAAGATATATATACATATGCTTCCTCAAAGACAAATTCCTGTCATTAAAACCTTATCTTCCTCAAACTCTACACCATCAAGGAATCAGACATTTGCCGTTTTGAAAATTGACCTAATAGTGAGATGTTCAAAATTTTTGTAACCCCTTAACAGTTGCTTTACTTGAAACTTTGTTGAGAATTCAAGTTGCAGTCTTTAGTGCTTCTTCCTAAAGAGATTCTGATAAAGTGAAATAACTAATCATACTACTTATCATGTCTTAAGTTTTCTATTTTGCCTCTCGGTAACAAGATTCATGCTAAGGGACCCTGGCGTGGTATATTGTGAGACGATTCCATATTAGTCTAGAAATTTTAGCAAAAGGCCATGGACATTATTCTCCTAATCCGTCATATCTACCACATTATTCACCACCACGACCAGATTTGACGTGTTCTTATTCTTTTGCTGAGTTGATTTTCAATTTTAGCTTTGTACAACTTGAACATGTCCAGTATTTGGGATTTCTCATAGATGAGATATAGGTAACCATAATGATAAAAATTCTTCTATGAACATAATAAATTACTATTGATCATTCCAATAAGTCAAAGGAAATGGCTCACAATATCAGTATAAATTAGTTCTAAGATGTCCGAAGTCATATTGACACCTAATCTCCTTATATTTGTTTGTTTCTCCTTAATGTAATTAATATAAATACTTAAGTCTAAAAAATTAAGGGGATCAAGAATTCCTTCTGAAGATTTTTCATTCTCTTTTAAGAGATGTGACCTAATTGCTTTTGTTATAACAAAGGGAAATTCTTACTGATTAATTTATATTTAATACCACATGAATTCACATACAATGTTTCTTTATAAGAGGCAACCATATTAAACAAATACAGGTTATCATAACCAGATAAAAGATTAATACCCACAATATTTGAATTAAGAAAAAGACTAAACTGACTATTTCCAATTGAACAAAGTAGAAATAGAAATCAAATTTCGTCCAAAATACAGTGCCGCAAATAACCAGCCTTTAATGATAACCTAAAGGTCCTTATAACCTAAGCTTTAACTGATTTACCACCGCCCACATAGACAAAATTTCAACATCAATTGGCTTTTAGTTGTTCAGGTAACCTCGCATAGACACATTATTTGAGCAATGGTACCAAAATTTAACCACCATGTATGTCTAGGTATTGAAACTAACTAACCTATAAAGCAAGCAAAAGTGTTAAATGTACTTTTCTTTACACGTCAAGCATGGTATTTAGTAGTCTCTCTTTATGCATTCCAAATTTTCACAAAAGTAATAGCCAGATGATTAATCATTTTCAGGCTTTTGCTGTTTCTTCTGAACTGAACCAGATGCAACTTCTTTATTCTTTAACATGTCCTATTTGCATGAGTTATGTAGATTACTTTGGTAACATGTTGCTTCAACTAATACATTTTAGAAAATTAGTAATCCGAAATAAATACTAAGTACAAAGATTAGAAATTGATTGCCCCTTTATATTTTCTTTTTCCTTTTTGTTGCTAAAAGGGGGGGAAAAGTTATGTGCGAACAGGAAACCAACGCTGCAACACCCAAACGTTGGAACTGGTTCTGATACTACTTATTCGAATTTTTATGAAACTCTAAATCTTAAAACTTAAAAATCTAATTACTTAATTACCAAAGTCTTCCATGTCAAATCACCAAGAGAATTATAAAGTGCGGAACATATCTTAATTCATTGGAATTGATTCTTGGTTTTGCTTCTTGATCCATAATCTTGATTCTTGAATTCTTTAATCTTAATTCATAATTGTAGATTGTTTGTTCTTAATTATGGGTTTTTTGGATCTTCCTCTTCAATATATTTTCTCTTGTATTCTTGTGTTAATAAGAAGACGCAAAGAATGAGAAATTGTATGTGAATTGGAGATCATAACTCTATATATAGTCCCCAAATGTATCTGGATCCAATCTTTACACATATAATTCAGCCCACACTTTATTTAGATGCTCAAAGCTCAATTATTTAATACTTCGTTGGATCACTTTAATTTTGGCCTTTACTATAAGATAGCATTTATACACAATTACTTACAAATGTTGCCAACAAGGCAAATTAAATATTTTCCCAACAAAAAATCTTTTTGAGATTTTGAGGAATGAATTGAGTATTTCACAACAGAAATTGGAAAGCATCGAAAATGACCTCAAGGCTGCACGAAGGAGAGAAAATGAAGTTATTGAGAAGCTCAAGTCAACTGAGGAGCAGTTACAGGAAAAGTTGAATTTGGTGCTTTCAGAGAAGAAAGTCTCTGATAAGCAGCTTGCTTCTCACATGAGCACTATAACTGAATTAAGAAAGCAGCAGTCAAGAGCCGTTGAACTTCAATTAGCAGCCGAAGCCCGCATTTTAGATGCAGAAGCACAATTGAAAAGAGAAGTTGAGGAAAAATTAAAGCTTGAACAAGAACTGGCTTCATGTACGTCCAAGTTGAAAAGCGAAGTTGAGGAAAAATCAATGCTTAAACAAGAACTGGCTTCATGTAGGTCCAAGTTGAGAAGCGAAGTTGAGGAAAAATCAAAGCTTAAACAAGAACTGGCTTCAATTACGTCCAAGTTGAAAAGCGAAGTTGAGGAAAAAGCAAAGCTTAAACAAGAACTGGCTTCACGTACGTCCAAGTTGAAAAGCGAAGTTGAGGAAAAATCAAAGCTTGAACAAGAACTGGCTTCATGTACATCCAAGTTGAAAAGCGAAGTTGAGGAAAAATCAAAGCTTAAACAAGAACTGGCTTCATGTACGTCGGAAAAATCAAAGCTTAAACAAGAATTGGCTTCATGTACGTCCAAGTTGAATAGCGAAGTTGAGGAAAAATCAAAGCTTGAACAAGAACTGGCTTCACGTAAGTCCAAGTTGAAAAGCGAAGAAGAGGAAAAATCAAAGCAAACAAATGGTACGACAAGTAGCAATGGAGGTACGAAAAGTAAAGGTAGCAGCTGCAATATCCTATAATTAATGACATGAGAGTTTGAAGACGATGGGCCACGTGGTTTGTATCCTAGAATTCAAGTTTGTTGAAAACTTGAATTGTTGAGAAATTGACTTGTTTGCCACTTGATCTTGTATTGGACTTCGAGACTTGAATTTGTTTTGATTTGAAGGAGACTTTGATGTTCTTGGACTTTAAAAACTTGAATTGTTGAGAAATTTGGTGTTTCTTCTCTTCTTCTGATTTCGAAAATTTTTTTATACTCATGTTTTTTATGGACCTTTTGGCCCTATTTATAGAGAAATTTGTAACCACTTTGTAACCATCCAAATACATTTAATTAAAATAAATAAATTAAATATAATAATGAATTTTAAAAAGTAGAATGGGTCTTTTTCATGGGTTTCTTTAATCCAATGAGCTGATTAAATTATAAATCTTAATAGACTTAAAAATGGGATGCATATTTAAAATTTGACCCGATCCATTTAATTGTTTTATTTATTTATGTGTTGATGTCTATAAATGTCCCTCAATATTTATTTATTTATTATGAAAATAAATAAATAGATAATCTTGAATTTAATTTTAAAATTTAATTTGAAAATGAATTTTCGACATTATCCTATTGGTACTTTAGAGTTTAGACTTTGAACAAGATTCTTATCCTCGAAGATAAGAAGAGTTCGAATTAAATTCTATGAAAATTCAACAAACTCACCTCTATAATAATAATAATAATAATAATAATAATAATAATAATAATAATAATAATAATAATAATAATAATAATAATAATAATAATTGTTACACATTTTTGTTTTCTTTTCATTAACAAATTTTATACAGTAAAAAATCTTGATAAATGATATTCGATAGATTAATAATCTCGCTTAAATAATAAAATTCTTCAATCTCAACTTGTGCTAATGTACTAAATAAATAATCCCGTTAAATGCATAAGATAATAATACTTTTTGAGATCCTTGAAGGCCCAAGAAATATATAAAATAATTAATGCTTAAATTCATAAAAGTTCATACTAATACAAATTAACAAACTTAATTTGACAATATTTTCTTCAATTCATTTCTTTTTTGTAATATACATCTAAAGTCTATTACTTTTTCTTTGTACCTAAACCAAACTCAACTTCGTTCTTAATTTTTTGCAATGCATGTACTACATTTGGTATTTTTTTTTCATTTGATATAAATTAATTATTTAAGGCTATGGCTGCTTGAAACGCATCTTTTGAAGAAACGGTTGGTAAAACACAATTATCATTTGGATCATCATCATTGTCATTGACAGATGTATTGACCCTTATGACTGCTTGAAATGCATCTTTTGAAGAAACAGTTCGTAAAACACAATTATCATTTGGATCATCATCATTATCATTGAAAGATGTATTAACCACTTGAATATTATCTTCGTTAGTATAAGATTGATTCACCACATCATTTTCACTAGAACAGTTTTAAAATCTGATTTATAGTGTAGACCAAAAATAACTTCACAAAATCTATTGATTCCTTTATCTTCATTAACTTTTGGTTCAACATTAATATCTTCATTTGACTGAATCTTGCAAAGTTTTTAACTCATTTCAAATGAAATGCCATAGTAGAAAAAATATATGAATTTGGAATGGGCGTTTTCTAGAGAAAGTATTCACACAAAATCGTTAAACATCGCCAGAATATTCGAATACTCCTTGCTAGAAAGTATTTACAGATGATGGATGGCTTCAATTTTCATAATCAAAAGTAAAAAACCTTCAAAGGAAAACAAAGGCGCCCTTTCATAGATAGAGGTGCATACCCTTGACCATTGGATCAAATGAAGATCCATCATGGCCATTCAATAGTTAGTTCATGTAATGCCCCCAAATTCTCGGAACTTGAAGTGTTGAAAAAAAAATCTTCTTCTTTGTTTGAGCTCTTTGATGTTAACCAAAATAAATTGTAAATGAAAATTTTTTAAAATTTGAAATATATAAAAATATAATGGGAGATATTTGTCCATATAGACTTGAACAATTATGGTGTAATTTTATTTTGGAAAACATCCGGAGGAAAATCAGCAATTACCAATTTCGCGGCAGTGGAAAGAAAAAAATGTTTGGCCGAACAAATGTCAACTAAAAAATTTGAAATTTTAACAGAGACTTACATTCAAATACGTAAAATATATAAAAAATTAAGGTCTTGATGATAATGTTTGAAGCACAAAAATATTGTAGTACTATGCTAGACAAAAAATTCGTAACTAACTCAATGCAGTCTACTAAAATGAACATAACTTTTTCTCTAAATAATATTTTAAGGAAATTCCGAAGGCCGCTGTTAGAAGAATCATAAACCTTTCAAACCTCACTGATTTCACTCTAAAACGTGCATTATAGCCCAAATTATACATTTCCAAATAGAAAGACAGAATCTGAAATTCAATCCAGCAATAAATAAACTTTATGCATAGTCATTCCAACATTTTCAAATTATGGCTGACATGAAATGTATATTAAACTAGATGAAGCAAAAAATTAAACATTTTAAAAGTGTCATCTAAATGTTCATAAGAGGTTTACATAACTGAAATTTTTTTCTAGAAAGTTGAGAGTATTTCAAATCGCTGAACACTTACCACCATGCCAAACCACTGCCATGCCATCAACTAACTTATAAATTTAGTAGGAATGAGCACCACAAGTAATACTCAGTAGGAAACACTTAAGTAAATAGATAAAAAAAATTATGTTTTCTAGAATTGCAATCTTTGGTTATTTGTGTTACCGTCAATTTCAAAGCGAACCGGTGATCAAGCAGTGCATATACTCTTAGGTTTTAACAACCGCTTCTCATGAATCAAAATTTATCTCTTAGTTGAAACACCAAGGGTGCTTCCTCTTCATCTCTTAGTTGAAACGCCAAAGGTGCTTCCATTCTCTCATGAGTAACATAATAACACGTTAATGCAAATCGGAAACAACAAATTTTTACTCCATTTGCAAAAGTGTTGAAGACATCCCTACCTTAAATACTTGGAGTTTGAATATCCTTTTGCATTCAATATGTAATAAAATCCAGCATACTCTTTGCCCCTTCTTTAGAAAATTTTCAGATTCAAGGTTCCTTGTGTCTATGGGAAAGGGCAAAAAAAATTTATGTATAGATATAATAGTTTGAGAGAGAAAACGTGGCTTTAGAGGTTGTAAGATATTTTTATTTTTTAGTTCCAAAATGATAATGGTGATTGGCATTAGGAATATTGATAATGTGTATAAATGGACTTTCTTAAGCAAATACCACTAGTGTGGCTTATTTTATAACATAAAAAACTAGAATACACATAAAGGAGAGGGGCATAGACCTAACCTTCAGTAAGTGAAAAAATTACAAATGTCTCAAATGAAATGCAGATGACAATAAATGAAACATGAACCAAACTAATGAAGATTACTCAAGGGCACTCCCGAGGATAAATCTTCGGGTGGTAGTACATAGACATTGATCGATTCATGCGTTTGGTCTAAAACATTTCTAGATCATAGTAGTCTGTGTAATTGGGCTCACTTACTGGAGAGGGGTCCCTCCTAGTGGGAAGGGCCCGTCTAGGTGTAAATTCTTATCCGAGCAATGGCATATTGAATGTCGGGCAAAAAGCAGGTGCATCTAATCTCATGGTCTTATTTACATGTAAGAGTGACACACTAACTGAAGGTATGATTCTCATCACAATCTTCGAAACCCATGCCATCCATGTCACTCTGAATTTGAGCATCCACCTTGTCCTGCCTAGGCATGTTGGTAGGGCTAGGTGATGATTTTTCGTTGAAGAGCTTGCCAACTAAGTCATCAATGGCATCCCTCGTAGAAGCTCCCATCTTGATGCCATGGGTCTTTTTGAAGTGGTTGATCAACATCTACTTCGCCTGAGGCTTAGCCTTCAGGCCGCTCAATGTACTGTCGGTACCTCACATCTGTGGTGAATGAGAGACCTGGGAATTGGTCTCAATAAGAGCCTTTGGAGTAGGTTCAACAAGTAGCTGATCAATAGGTGTTATCTCTATTGTATCCTCAACCACTAAGGGAGCAACTGTTCGTGTCTGAATAGGAATCCCTAGGGTGCTCTCATGGACGACGGGAGGGATCTCTGATGTAGACTCTATGACTGGAAGAACAACTCGTGTTACCCTTATAGTTAGTACTTGTGGTAAGAATCAAGGTAGGATTTGTCGATGTAGTAGCTGATTCTACTACAAATGCAACAGGGGTAGTGTGAAGCATAGGAGGCACTACCGAAATTGGTACCCACCACTTCCTTGGCTCAACGAAAGTAACATTGCCTTTGCCCTTGTCAGCCCTATCAGTGCCAGTCTTAGTAGGAGGATGGGACTGAACTAGTGGAGGCACAACAGCTGGAGGAGGAAGTGGTAGTGGTGGTACCTCGAAGTACACTGATCAAACTGGTGGCCGAAGTGTTTACAAGAAAAATAAAATGTCAATCGCTTCTTATATATGACTACTTGCCAAAAGTTGTGGTTACCACTGCACTTAACCCATACTCTATCAGGCAACTTAAGCCCCAAATTCACCTCTATACACATCCTACCCTCACTAGGACGTCTCAGATCTGAGGTGGCCTCATCGATCCTCAAGGGCATTCTTATTGCCTTAGATAAAGTAAAAAGGAACCCCTTGGCACACAAATGTACCGGAAGCAAAGGAAATGAAACCAAACATGAACAATCAGAGTCTCCAGCTTTGGTCTGAAATCATATGTCCACTTAAGGACCCTCACAGGACATCTATCAATATACCAAAGTAGATTAAGGAAGAGCTTGTTGTAGTCCTTTTCATGTGTAAAATGGATCACTATATGTGCATTGTTAATCAATCCTAACTTAAAGAAACCACGAAAACCAAACATAGAAAAATTCTTCTGTACTTTCTTCATGGTCGACTTTTGGTGGGGAAATTTTCCTACAAATACATTTATAGGGATCGGCCAAAAAAACCTCCTCCGAGTTGGTTAACTCAACTGTCGGCTCGCCCAAATGAGTAAGGGGTTCTTTGGTAGCAAACCCAGCATCCGAAGAGTCATCTATAGCCTGTGAAATTGATGCACATGATTTTTGTGAATTCTTCTCAACCTGAGTCAAGCCTGGTCAACTATAAATTGCGGTGGCATAGTCATCCGGCCCTAATTTAGTGCTGTCTAT